CCCCAAAACCCCAAAACCCCAAAACCCCGCAGGATTGAATTATTGTAAATAAAGAGAAAAATAAGAGGGTAATGGGATTTTAAATTAATAATAAAATTGTTTGTAATTAAAAATTCATTCAGATGAGTGAGGAAATCAAAATTAAAGTAAAGCGTTCTGTTTCATAGAGGAAAGGGAGACAACAGGCTGGCCATAACTAGTCACTGGGAGGCTCAATTCAGCACTAGAATGATATAGTCAACATAAAAATCAATCAAAGCAAAATAAATGCAAGTGGAGCCAAGCAAGCTTAGGCGATGGCCTAAAGCCAGGCATTTAATAAATCTATGATAGAAATATCCCAATTAATTTAGGGAATGACTATTGATAGCAACTCTGGTTTTGGAAACCAAAGCAATTTGACTGGTTAACACAGTTCAAAAATGTTCTTGAGAGCACGCAAAAATAAAAATACAGCTCAACTGATGAATTAAACCATTTCATATGGAGTAGGTAACAGTCAGCAGCATCAGTCGATGCTAAATCAAACTGGAATTCTTATTAGAAATCATAAAAGTAGGCTAAGAAAGTAAACTAGGAGAGAACTATAGTCAACAGTGGGAATGACAGATGGTAACTAAATATCAATACCGAGAAATGTTTAGTAGAGCTATGATCAATCACCTTCTCCTACTAGGTTCATTAAGTCTAAGGCTCGTATCAAGAATCTTATTGCAAAAGATAAAGAATCCAATAATAATGAAAATACTCTAATTGATCAAAGCAATTCATCTTTGTAAATACATAGAAGTAAACTGGATTAAATTAAGGTATCTCAAAAATTTGCATCATTTGCGAGTAGGAATAATACCCTTATAAAAAAAAATAGTGCACTTACAGAACATTCTAATGTCTCAAACATGATTATTAGACCTTAATCATAGTTTGGAGGTGTGGCAGGTAGAGTTCATTAAAAAGGACAACTTGGATAGTCCAGCTCGATAGACAGAACTTACACTGCAGTAAAAAGTAAACAGAGAGTTCGCATTCAAAATAGAACTACCTTAGATGTTATCAACATGAGTGTTGAGAAATCAATTTTATAAGATTAGACTTAGTATGGTGCGAGTCAATTAAGTAGTGCTATCAATAACTAAAAAAATCCAGCAAAAGCTGCTTATGATAACGAGTATAACCAATCTCAAATGTCTTACCTAGATCAATATGTTAAGAGGGAGAAAAATAGTCTTTCTCCATTTACTAAACTGACAAATTCGCAAGTAAGAGACTAACTAGGCTGATTATCTGAGATTGAAGAACAAAAGCAGTAAGTATTACCTTTGTCAATCTTTATGATTTCATTAGGATGTATGATAAAAACATAAATGTAGATGCCCAGGATCTTTTATTCAAGACCAATAGAGAAATAAAATCATTGAACTATAAACTTATGAGAGTAATCACCACTGATGATTATCACACGATTTTACAGCCTTTTAGACCAAATGAAATAGAAGTTATTGAACAGGTAAAATACATTATAAAGATGTAGTTAATATATAGACATCAATCCTATGCAAAATTAATGTGAGAGGAAACATGTCTCCTGCTAGATTTTTTATAACTTTCAAAAATGAGATGACAGCCATGAACTAAACAATAAGCACTGGATCAATTGGAATAAATAGACGAGTATAAAAGCTTCCCGATCTAAAAGTTTATCTCTCCAGTTACCATAAGGAACCAAATGAGCATCATAATGAAAAGTTTTTCGCAAATGTAAGACTATTACAGATTACTTATAATTAATTTTAGTAAAAAAAATTTGTGTTCGGATCTGTAGATAAATCAGGTAAATTTTCCAATTAAGAATGGATATACCTATCTTTCTTCAGTCTGGCTGGTTGCTCTATAATAGTGTCTGTTTCATTTCCTTAGGATAACAAAGATTCTTAGCAATTCAAGAAAAGTTAGCAAGTTCACTAGGTATAGACTTTGCCTTTGCAAGAGGGAGAAGAGTAAGGATAGGGCAATGTTTTCATTTCTCATGATTAAAAGAGAGATATCAAAGAAATAGAGGAGTCGCTTATGTGTAAACTATAGATATTATAAAATAAATTATAGAGACACTAAAATAATACAATCAGACAAGGATTCAAGATGATAATTAGAGTCATGCTCCAGATTTTATTATAAAGAACAAATCTCTTATATCTCATTGGAATTGCTTTAAGGGTGAAAGAAGATCTTAGTTCACTGAGCAAGTGTAATAAAAGGTTAACTTGGCATTACAAAGAAAAGAGGAACTTGAAATTGAAAAGCGGAAGAAAAATTTATTTGGCTTATACAAATGGGACTTTATAAGATAAAAAGTATTTTGATCGAAATATACTAATGACTCAATATAGAAACTAAGACATTAGAAAGAGACCGAAGAGTAAATCAGAAGAATAAGTCACAAAAATCAGTGGATTCAATTTATGCATCAACATATGATAGTTAAAGCGATATATGAGAAGTTTTCTGACTGCAAAAGATAAATAGATATCAAACGCAGAATGAAGTATGCTGCGAAATTTCTAATGAGAATATCCAAGAAATTTTTCACGAAGTTTGCTAAAACTTACTAACAGAGAGCTCATAAAAAGGCTTAATTGTAAGATCCATTTATAAATCAACTAATTATTACAGAGCATTTGCTTTTAGCCACACCTAGCTTAAAGATACAATTCAAGCTAGAGCATAAAAGAAAATTGCCTAGTTTCTTACAGACACATCGAAGAACTATGATTTGAAATAAAAGTTCATCATTTTTTATTAAAGGATAATGCATATTCAGCATTCTTACAGAAACAGATGCCAATGCCTTGACAATAGGAAAAATTTCTTGATAAGCTATTTCGATAAGGAAAGAGCTTTCCTGGTGAAATTCTACATTTAGAAAAAATCAAAACGATCAAAGCATCTAGTGAAAAGATTGAATCTGATTGATTAAGATGTTAGAGATAAGATACTAAAGATATACTTTGAAAAGTGTACCTTTGATTACAGTGTGAAATTCAACCAATGGAGAATAAAGATGCATGGAGAAAATAGTGGAGTGGATTAGGAATCTATGATCACTAGGAATGAAATGCTACTATAAAAGGAATAGCTTTTGTTTTAAGGGACTGAAGTAGTGGAAGAAGATCAAACTGCTGCTGCTTCCAAGCTATCCTCTGGTAACTCTGGCACTAAATCTGCTAGTGAAAGCATTCCATCATCACCATTAAGAAGATAAAGAGTCTAGACTTTCAGGTATAAAAAAGGAACAAGCACTAATGATACCAGAAAGGGAAGTGATATGCCTCCAATATTTCTATCAATGCCAAGCAGGGAGGTTTTGCATAAACTTGTCATCAAAGCAACTGAGTTTAAGACTATTGATGATCTTAATAATACTATTAAGTGAGTACTAGCAAACCAAGACTTCCTAAATAAAATCACTGAACTTATGAATAATTATAACAATGATTAATTTTGATTTCATAATGAAGTTTTAATATCAAAACTTTAATATTAAATTCAGGCAATGATGAACCTTAATTATCTTTAAGTGATTGTTAATGCGTCACAGATTAGAGAATTTAATACCACCATCGATTCTAAGAGTAACTCCTGTAAGATAAGTGTTCTCGATGCATGCTGTAACAAAATGAGCAAACTCATCGGGGGTACCTGATCTGTTGACTGCAGTGTCTGCATTAAGTCTCTTCATGACGTTTTCTGGCATAGCATGAGATAATGGAGTCATGAAAATTCCAGGAGCGATTGATAAAACCCTAATGCCATATCTTCCTAAATCTCTAGCCATTGGAAGTACAATGCCGTTAATAGCTCCCTTTGTTGAAGAATAGGCAACTTGCCCTCTCTACCCTTCCTCAGCTGCAACACTGCTAACAAACATAATAACTCCTTTCTCCCCTTTGTCATTGATTGGCTTGTTCTTTGACATTACCTAAGCAGCATATTTGGCTACGTAAACAGATCCATAAACATTGATCTCTGTGGTACTCTTGAATAATCCAATATCTAATGATCCTCTTGATGATAGAGTAACTGAAACTGTAGCAATACCAGCACAGGCAAGAGCAGCATGAATAGTTCCAAATTTTTCAACAGTCTTGTCGATTGCATTCTTGACTTGTTCTTCTTTTGTGACGTCACACTTAATAGTGAAGATGCGTTCCTTTAGCTCCTTTTCTAAGAGAGCTAATCTCTCCTCATTAAAGTCAGCGACTGCTACCTTAGCTCCTTTAGCGTGAATTTCTCTAACAGTTGCTTCACCTAATCCAGAAGCTCCTCCAGTGATGAAAAATACTAAGTCCCCAGTGATCTTCATTTTTAATTAAATTTTTAATACTTTAAGAATCAAACGAGTATAAAACTTCTAGATTTTTAGTGAGTATTAATACACAGAATATATGACCTATCATCTTTTATAAAAAGATGGAGATTATTTAGATTCTAGATTATGCATTTTGCTATATTTTCACTATTCTTGCAATGTGGGGTTTTGGGGTTTTGGGGTTTTGGGG